TGTTTTATTCATATCGACAACCATTTTTTACCCAATAAAAATTTTGACTAGCTGTCTAGTGGCTCGTATAAATATTGATGTCAGATGCCCAAATGGTTAATCTTGATCGGTCCAAAAAGCTTTTATCGGTATTTACGAATGCATACGCAATTAATGATTCAGCAGATTTTTAATGGAATTGATTTAAAAATTATAGAAAAAAACAAATAAAAAATGTAAAGCACACCTGTTTGTAGATTGTGGCTTAAAATAGGAACACCCTTTTTCGGTAAGAACATAATATTTATATTTAAGTAGTTTTACTTTTAAATTTCTATCCTTCTTTTTATAAGGTTTGCCAAATTGACTGTAGTTGTTACTTCAAACGATTTCGATAGCCCATCAGATCCGTTTATTTGTACCATAGCGTGCGAATAAAGCATTTTTATTACATGGAAAATTTTTGATGACATTCCTACATAAAATAATTTGTTCCACAAATCCACATAATCAACTGAGTCGAAAGCTCTTTTAAAATCAACAAAAATTGCAAACAATTTTCTCTTTTTATGCCTTATATGTAAATCAATAACACTGCTTAAGGTGAAGACATTATCTTGACAACCTCGCCCTAAACGAAAGCCAGCTTGACATTCTGGAAGGATATTACATTCATCGGTCCACTGTGACAGTCTGTTTAGAATAATGGAAGTGAATATTTTAGCACAACAGTTGACCAGAGCTAATCCTCTATAGTTTTCAGGATTATATGTCGCTCCCCCTTTATGTAGCATAGCTAATAAAATGTTAGACCAAGATTTCGGAATAACAGCAGTTTCAAATATTGAACTAAATAACGATATTAAATAAATAATCCAATTATTTGGAAGATTTTTAAAAAACTCATAAGTTATTCCATCACATCCAGGAGACTTATTAATTTTACAATTATTAATGACTTTATAAATTTCATTTGTACAGAAAGGAGCATCCAGAAAGGGACAAGTAACATCTTGAAAGGTAAGAGTCAACGTTGATCTAGGAGGATATATATTTTGGTAAAAATTTTCCCAAATTTATACTGGTAGAACTTTGCGATTCAATGTGCTACGGATCTGTTTAATTGTCTGTCAGAATTCTTTGGGATCATTCAAATTGCATAATTTAATAATAATTTCAGCTTCGTATTCTTTTTTCCTTAATTTAATGGTTTTTTTTATTCTGCTTTTAAGTTTAGGTAAGTTTGTTTTGATTTTTCAGAAAAATTATTGCTTCTACAAATTTTTAAAGATTCTTTCATGTTCTTTTTGGCATTAATACATAAAAAGTTAAACCATGGTTTATTAGTTTGTGTTTTTGTGTTTAGGGGTGTGGCACTATTAACAGTGTCAAGTTTAAGTCAGTAGCTGTTTCTTGTATAGCTGCACAAAAATTAGTAAATTACTCCTCAGGATTAGGGATCAAATATGCTCTATTTGATTGATTCATTTTTAATTTATAACTTAGAGATAAAGAGTTTTTCCAGATAATTTTTATGGTTTTGAGTTTTTAATTCATTAGTTTGAGAGTATGATGATGTAACATCAAAGTTTAGTACTAAATTAACAAGAAAGTGGTCAGATAAAAAATCATCTTCACCAACAAAAAAATTATTTACATCTGAAAGAAATATATTATTAACCCAGACCATGTCAACCACACTCTTGCTCAGTTTGCAGGTCTGTCGAGTGTACTTCTACCATTAATAACTGAAAAGGAATTTTCATACATAAAATCAATCAAGTATCTACCTCTAGAATTAAATATAGTATCCAAGCTTAGCCTATTACTAAATAGATTTGCGTTTTCTATTATTTTAACAGGCACAATGCCTTGAGCTAAAATCCTACAATTAAAGTCCCCACCTATTATAAACATAGTATCAATATAAGTTTCGGAAAGTTCAGCTAGTAACACTTGTAAGATTTCAAAAATGTAAGTCTATTCAAATTTAATTTACGCCTGATGTAAACAGAAGCAGGTGGACGCTACAATTGAGCAGGGCCGTATTTTACTTTTCCGTCTTGCAAAAATGTAAAATAAAAGAGTGTAATTGTGAAATTATTTTTTTATTACGATAAAAACATATTTTGTAAAGTAAAACTATAAAATAAATGCCATACACGGTATCCCATACTTTAGTGACATTTTTGGATGAAGATAGGTGAGCGACATAAACTGCGTTAACCTGCAATACAAATTAATAAATGTATTTGACTTTAAAAGAGATGGTTGCATTATATTTAGTTCATTACATATGTCTACTGTGATAAAGAGCATTAAAACAATCATATTATAAAATTATATTGTACAGGGTGTTCAAATAATTGCAAATTCTTTAATAGCTAATATATATCTACTAAAAGCATTAAAAAAACTTTAAATATAAGAGGTATTTGGTATTTGAATTTGGTATTTGATTTAAAATTGTGCATCTTAAAAAGAAACCTTTTGTATTTTTGATAACTTTTGTTCTTTATTGTTCTTGTTCTACTAGTATTTAGATTAGACAACTTGTACCCTGTATTATAGCAATCTTCCTTACTTGACTTAGCACTATTCTGAATCGGCTAAATTAGTTAGACTTGAACAGGCTATCTTCATTAATCAAAATTACAAGTGGTTCTACCTGAACCTCTATAATATTATCCAATTCCCACATTTTTACTTCAACTTTTTGGCGAACATGGTCGATACACTTTTTCCATTTTTCTGGAGAAATTAATATTACTTCTTCAAAAAGAATTTTAATGTCTCCAGATTTAAATGTTGAGTTTTTATCTGCTACGTATTGTTTAACGTCAACCTAGATTAATTCAATAGGGTTAAGTTCACAATGATACGGAGACATGTGAAGTATTATGTTGTTTTGCTGCTTAGCCATTTCATCTATTACGTACCTATCATAATGTTTATGTTGCTTACTAAGTTTTAGAAGTTGAATTTTAAGCATTTGGTAGTCGAATTAAATTTTTTCCCTTATAGCCATTTTTAAATATCACCTTTTTTAGACGTCGAAGATATTTGTTCCAGCTTTCTCGAATAATAATGCAGTTATCTTCTAATTTTGGTAGGGTGTTTGAAAACCACTCTTTGAACGATTCTCCACACATTTCTTCATGGTAGTCACCGGATTTTTCAACTCAAATACATAAAGTGCATTAGAGACAAAGCCTTCTTCACTTCCAATATGGCATATAATGAGCTGTTTTTACGCACATACCTGATGGGTTTTTATAACCAGTTAAAAGTTCATCCAAAAAGGCTTGTCTGGATGAAAAAACCGACATATCGGAACATACTTTTGATTTGGTGTGGCCTGCGTTAATCCAAGTCTCATCAAGATAATATATTTTTTGCTTTTCTTCTCTGTACCGTTTTATTTTTTGTGGCGTAGGACGAAACAATTTCATTTTTGTCTAAAAGCAAACTATTTTTTCCTCGAGTTTTAAATTTAAAATTAAGGGTTTTGAAAAGCTTGTAAAATGTAGCTTGCTTAAAAGTAGACAAATATGGATCATGGTTGACTTCTAATAAAACCTTATTAATTGTTGGAAGTTAATTTCTAAAGAAGAATTGATGTACTTTGCGCCTTATTGCATTTTTATCAAAATCATCCACAGAGCCACTAATTTGTTTATAACGTAGCTTTCTTTTTGGTTCAGAAAATTTATGAATCTTTCTATACTCCTTCATAACATTAAAAACGGTTTTAGCGCAAATCCCTGTTTTATCAGCAACTCTCCTTTCAACATCATGTACCAACATATCAGGGTTCTACAAAATTTAATGCTTATAAATATTAAGAACCATTTCTTTAGTACGGATGACTAAATGTCCCTTTTTCAGTCGCTTTTTAGAAGGAGTAAAAACATTTTTCTGGACTTCATCTGCTGTATCTGTGGAGGACATAGTGTCACGCAGCAATTACAAAATATAGTCAATGAAATGTCCATAAAATAGAGTAAAATATGTTCAAACTAACAACAACCACAAAAACAAAAAAAATAAATAACACAATATATGTATATCTAAACTATAATATAATGAATTATAATCAATCAAACATACAAAATGTCCAAACTAACCAACACGGTGAATGCTACCAAAACGCCGTTTATAATTATCCAAATTAAACTGAATTCTACGCTGACAAAAGATATTTGCGCGTCGTCTAAATGACTAACGACCGATTAACCAATAGAAGCGCAAAAAATGTCACGTGAGCTGTTGCTGGATGAGAGAAATAAATGAAATCTGGTTTAAAGTAAATATGACATAAAATAAATTTATAATAAAAGTACGAGTAACATGAGTGACAAAAAACATCAAAGCAAGATTATAAAATCAGATGTAAAATTAAAGAGAACATAATGAGGAATTAATTCAAAGTTTTTTAAAGCTCCTAGTGTAAGTAAAATATTTTATTTATCTCTAAATATAATATTCATTGTAAACTTGTCACAACAATGGTAGTTTGTTCAACAAGAGCGGATATGGACAACATACTCGAGTAACAGTATATTTTTTCTACGACTTACTAAAGAAAATCTACAAAACAAAAAAATATTTTAGGTTATTAAGACAAAATTACTAATTTTAAAATAATTTATGAATTTTACTGATTTTTAAAATTAAATAAGTATGAAAAAAAAAGAGTCACTAGCCGGATGGGAGTTTTTTTTTAATTTCAGAAGGTAACGTTTGACAATTTCAAGAGTAAATTTGAGCCGTTCTAAGTAAGAAGGGATTCTTTCGGGTAAGATATCTAGTTATTGATTCTGGAGTGGTTCATAGGAGAAAAAACTTTTTAAAGGTATTAGCCAGAAGTTTAGCCATTTAGAAAATATTTTTACATCTTATGTTGTACAAAATAAAATATTCTACAATATAACAAGAGTGGGTGTTTGAAGATAATAATATTACATACTAGAAAGCTGAGCTAATATATAATCTTCATATTGTCTTTAAAACTTACAGAAGTAAAATTATGTCATAGTCACATTTGGCAGACACAATTCAAAATAATGAATGTGCCTTATAATGAACATAATTGTAAATTAATTAAAGGCAATCCAGTCATAAGCTTATTGAGACCTTTACACCCAGGAGCGAGCCGTTTACAAAGGTTTGCAAGAGCCTTGAAGACATACATTCTCTTAGATCTAGACGATTACAGATGTAACAAATTTTTCACCCATCCATCGTTAAGCCGAGCCGAGTTAAAAAGGCACGCAAATGGCCCTTATCACTACATAATTCATCCTTTCAGCAAGATAAGTAAATATGTTCAAAGAATATTTTTCTTGGTGCTGACCCATAGATGTATTTTTGATATACTCAATAAAGATAAACCTACGATAATCCAGTACACTTGCTACATTAGAGACATTATAAACTGCTTCATAATGATGTGCTTCTTTATGACCGGATACGTTAATTACAGTACTAGGGAAGTATTCATACAGCCAAGTAAAATACGAAAACATTATTTAAAGACTTACTTTCTGGTCGACTTGTATCTAGCAACAGATGAGTTTTACTGGATGTTACCTTTGGACGATATGGCGATTGTTTGCAAAATTGTTAGTAAGATACTTTACGTAGTACGATTTAAAAGTATTGATGATACCGTTGACAGTACTTTGAACTCTTTGGGTTTTGGAAAGAACACAGTATTTATACTTTTCCATTTTTGGGCTATTATGGTTTGTCTACATATATTTACAGAATTAATCTATTGGATACCTACTCAGATTTATATTAGTGATAATATCTATCCAAATACTTCTTGGGTATTTCGAGAAAACCTAAGTTTTCATGAATATACTATTGATACTTACGCAAAGAGTTTCTTAATAGTATTATCATATTTCTTAGGCGCTGCTTATAACGATTACGTCAGAGAGCCAAACGAACAATTATTGTTAGCAGTTTTAACTTTTACGGGTAGATTTTATGTTTTGATAATTATCGCCAAAGTTTTATCACTATTTGGTCATTCAGATATATCTCAAAGCGACTATGAAAATCGGCTATATCAACTTTGTAACTACATGCGAACTATGAAGGTACCTGAACATTTGCAAAGCAAGATTATAGATAGATTGAAGTATAACTATCAAAAGAAATTCTTCGATGAGAAAGAACTGTTATCAATTTTTACAGAACAGATAAAAACCGAGATTTTTTTGTATGGAGCAAGAAATTTGGTAAATAATAACACAATTTTGGGATACCTCCCTAAGCACGAACTAGCAAAATTGTTCGTTTATATGAAGTCGCAAATTTTCGATCCTGATGAGTTAATTCAGCATTACAAATCGAAACAAAGATTCGTTTTTTTCATTTCAAGCGGTACCGTGGCTTGCTACACCAAAGAAGGACTGGAATTCCTGCATCTAAAAGACGGCGATATATTTGGCATGCTGAATCTGCAACCCAAATTAGACGCTTTAAGTTCTGTAACTTATGTCGCTACAGAAATGACAGAAATATATTTTGTTCATTACAAATATTTGAAATTGGCTTTCGCAGATCGTAGTGAGTATTTAAAGTATTTTAATGAAATAAGAACTGAAAGGATTAAGATTATGGAAAGGCTTAAGAAACTTACAAAATCAGGTCAAAGAATAATTTTCGACTTAAAAAGAGGTGTGCTGTTGGAAAAGCCTAAACGAAGGTACATGGCTGATTAATAATTTTGTTTTATATTTAAAGATTTAATTAGTTTTGTTAAATTTTACATATTAAAGATGTTCTTTCCTATTTCTCGTTCATTGCAAAAGTTTTTCGACTTATTCATGCTCTGTATCGTATACAAGAAGAAAGAAGATAAATTTTAAGTATCTGAACCGAAATAAAATGTTTTAGTGATTATATAACATATACAGAGTGTCCTATTAGTGCGTAATCGTTCAATATTTTAATTTGTGTTATTAACAAGCAAAATACGTATTTTAAAAATATTTTTGGTTATATTTGGTGTTGCGGTTTTGCTTAGCAAATAAAAATGTGTATTTTAATTTTAGTTTTAGAATGGTTTGGTAATACTGTATTCTTAGACAAAAGAGACCAGAGCTATAACATACACTAGGCGAGTTCGGTCAGTCAGGGGCTGGACCGGGACAAATTTTAGGGTGCTTTTAAATGACATTTAAGCGTGTTAAACTGTCACTAATCGGACTAAACCGAACGCTAAAAGAGTCGTTTGGAGTTAAAAGTGTTAAAGGAGTTAAAGGAACGTGGCAAACCGAACGCAATGACTAGTGTTTAACCTGCGCAAATGTTGGCAATTTTTAAAGAAAGGTTAACGGAGTGGGGGAACTGGACAGAGACCCGAACTCTGTGACAGGGACCGGACTTTGTTTATTAGCATCATAATGAACTATCAGATTTATTTAAAATATATGTTTAATGGAATTTTGTATTATGAAATAAAATTAACGTGATTTTTGAATATCAAACAGATGTCACGACGTTTTATGTAAAAAAGAGACCTTTTATAGAATATTTCGTCAGCATTTATTTACTACGGTATTTTCAGCAAGAGACTACAGTAAAATGTTGAAATGGAATACTGTTAATAGAGCAAGAAATGGTACTCATTGTCTACGAGTATTATGAAAAAAGCGTGTGCGCACGCAAATACTGCAAATCAAAACCTGTAAGTTGAACATTATATTTTTTCTACGGCTATTACATAATATTAAAAATTAGTCAAAATTAGAAAATACTGTTTTGTATTGTAACCTTAGCTTCTTTCTTCAGGAATGTTAGTTAATATAGAGGATGAGTAACATGAAAGTCTAGAAGTGCATATGTCTGAAACCGGATAACATTTTAAAATTTAAGCCTATTAATGTCATTTGGTGGCTACGGGTGGGTGATTATCGAAATAAATTATCGATCATTGAAAATAATCGATTATTTTCGATCAAACGATTATTTTCAAACAATCTATTTTTTTGTCGTATTTCCTTTAAAATCGACTACTTGATTATCTTTGAAGAATTAAAAATAATCGATTAATTAAAAAGCCAATTAACCAATAAATCAGTGTTTACAAAAAATAATAAAAGAATTATCGTTTATTTTAAATAATCGATTATTTTTAATTAATCAATTTTTGTTCGTCTATTAAAACAATTATTCGATAATCTTTGAAAAATCGAAAATAACCGATTAATCAAAAATAATCGATTAATCAAGAATAATCGATTAATTAAAAATTCGATTAACTAATAAATCGATTTTCAAAAATAACGTATCGATTATTTTAAATAATCGATAATTTTCGATAGAACGAATATTATCAATAATTTATTTTTATTGTATTTCCTTTAAAATCGATAATTTGATTATCTTTGAAATACCAAAAATCATAAAATATTCCAAAATAATCGCTTAATCGAAAATAACCAATTTATTAAGAAGCTGATTCTGCGATAAATCTATTTTCCAAAAAAATACCCGAATTATCAATTATTTTCTAATATTCCTTTTCATATTTTCTTTAAAATTGATAATTCTATTATCTTTGAAAAATCGAAAATAATCGATAAATCGAAAATAATCGATTATTAAAAAGCTGATAAACCGATAAATCGATCATTCTAAAAAATAACCGAAATATCGGTTATATAAAATAACCTATTATATTCGGTCAATCGATTATTTTCATATAATACCTTTAAAAAATGGAAAATAATCGATTAATTAAAAACCGATTAAACGATAAATCGATTTTTTCTAAAAAAATCGATAATTTTTAATCAATCGATTATTTAGAATAAAACTACTTTCTTTCTGTATTTCCTTTAAAATCGATTATTACATTATCTTAAAAAAAAAAAATAATTTATCAAAAATAACGGATAAATCGATTTCATAAAAAAATATCAGAATAATCGATAAATCGATTATTTTTGTAATCCCTATCGGTCGTTTTGCTTTTATCCGAGCATTTAGCTCCAAAATTTAGAGATTGAGATTTTTTGATCCCGTTATCTTTGAAACCGCATTCGATTGTATAATAAATTATAAATATTGCTAGAATTTGGATTTTTTTAGTTAACAAAAATTTTGTTCAAGTTGTTTAGGGGTTTATAATGTAACATTTTATTAACAATGTGACTAACTTCCTTAAGTTTAGTATTTTGTTTGCTTATACTAGATCATATTGTGCGTTTTACTTTGTTTTAAGACTTAAGATTCAAATGTCACTTTCAATTTGACGGCAAATAAGATAAAATTTCGTAAGCAACAATGCCTATGTATTTCTTATTTAAATTAAATGTTCAAAATTTTACCCTTTTGTAAATTTATGTAAGTAATATGAAATCTGCTTTCTGAAATATGTATTTATTGCTTAATATTTATTAAAACTCCTTTATTGCTATAACACCAACAAATAAATCAAAAAACAGCTGTCAATGATGATTGAACTCAGGCGGAGGTGAGCGTTGAATGGAAAATAGGAGCAATTCGGGTGGCGTCGTGCGAACAATTATTTTCAATTGGTGGGTTAGTTGGAGTTAAAATAGACAACATGCACAGTGTGCAATGTAACATCTTCGGTCTCTTTAATCTTAGACTGTATTTAACCATGGAATTTTTGTTAAATTAATACAGGGCTGCTATGCAAATATTTTTTTTATGAAATTACAGAATGATGCAAACCCAAAATAAAATTATCATAATTTAGGTAGGTTTATAACGATTTCAAAATTGTTTAATATAGATACTTATAAGATACTAAGCTTACGAATAGTGGCCATAGAACTGGTTTGTTGCATACAGAGTGTTTTAAAACATGTCTTAAATAGGGGTAATTTTAAATTCAATTTATTACATTTTTTCAAATGCAACACCGTATATCTATCGTGTGTAGGCAAAGGAGTGTAAGTCAAAATTTTGGGTAACTTAGTTTCAGTCATCTATACTTAATGTAAAACGTGAGATAAGTCAATACTTTCTTTTAGGATCGCTATTGGAAAAAAAAATAATTGTCAAACTTGTATGACCATATTTAGCATTATTATTAAATATACAGGGTGGTCCACAAGCCAGGGGCTGATCAAACCTATACATTTTTAAAACAGGTAGTTATACATTTTGATTGTTTTCACATCACAACAATTTTATTAGACTTCATTCATTTACTTTGTTGTATAAAGGATGTGTCAAAATGTGAGGTTACGTTTTTCTCAATTTTATAAATGGCATACCCTGTATGTTATACCACAGATAGATCGACAACCGTTTGAAATAAGATAAGATGTGGTTTGCGATATTGCATTTATCTTTAAAAGCCCTACAAAACGGTATACAGTGCGTTTATATAGTGTGAATACGCTCAATTGTATTAAGAGTATTTTCAGTATTTTGAGACGTAACCGCGGTCAATTTTAATTTTTAATTTTCTACTTTGTTTTTTAATTTTTACCCACAGTATCTTACAAGATATGACGTCATCAAGAATATTTTTTAAACAATTACACATAGTAATGGAAAATACTTTTCAAATATATCATATTTTTATCCGCAAAAAAATCAGCAAATAAAAAAATTCTAGCCAACTGCGATATTATTTTGAATAATGCAGTGATACAATTTGCATAAATGGAACGATATTTGCAGAAGTGGCATTTTTAGTGGCATTCGAGAGAGGTTTTGGAGTCAACCGGGTTGGGTCATAAAGTATCATTAGAATAAATTCTTTAAGAAGAGGAGAAAGACTATGCTAGATTTTAAAGTATATGATCCATACGTAGGTCCGAAGAAAAAAGTTTATTGGGTTTAGGATGTTCTATCTATATATCTATTTGAATTAGGGCGTAGTTCAAAGCCCACTCGTAATGAATCTCTCGGCTTATTGTACCCCGCACAGTTTCTACACCCCATCAGATTGATTTTCTTGATAAATTACAGAATATGTCTGATAAGCGATTTCTTCCAGATATTGTACCCAGAAGTACCATTTCTGTTCCCATTTAAGGTTCCGACAGTTGCACAGTATGTGAGTAGGAGTTTCGTCTTCCTCTTGACATATTCTACATAGCGAGTCATGAAGACCTAGCAGTTGCTCCATTGCTGCTGTGGGCGTAGTTCTAAATGCCCCTGTTATTATTAGACAGGCTAGTCTTTGTACCTTGTCTAATTATCTGTTAGCTGTTATGTTTTTATTCTTATGCCACTGTATGACTGATTAGTAAGTTATAACAGGTACTACAACCATAGTGTGAAGCCAGTGCATCATACTTGGTTTAAGCTCCCATGTGTTCCCTACCATCTGTCTACAGACCCATAGTATTTTTATATATTTTTATGTTGAATTTTCTATATAGCTGCAGAAGCTTAGTTTGTCATCAAGAGTGATTTCAAGATATTTAACCTATTTTGACATTTTTAGCTGTTGTCCCCACATATAAATCGCTTTTATTCCCTCAAGGTTCCTTTTTCTTGTAAATGGAACAAGAGAGATTTTTGTCGGGTTTGTGGACAATCCATCTTTTAGACACTATCTTTCGACAATATTTAGTGCCCGTTGCATCCTTTCGGATACAACAGACCCAAATTTACCGTATACTACGATGCTTGTCGTCTGAAAATGCTTGTGTGTATAAGTTTTGTTTGTCCTACTCCCATAAGAGGTCATTAACCACTAAGGTTTACATAAGAGGTGATAACACTCCTTCCCTTTTTAACTGAGACCTCTCTTGTTGTGTTAAGAAGATTACTGGTAATGGTTCTATAATTAAGCATACATTCAACCCTCTTTGTAATGCAGTGAGCTACTTTACGCCTGTGCATACATCCCAGTATCAATTTGTATGAAACCGAATCAAAGGCTCCTGCTATATCTAGGAAGGCTCCTAGTGCTATTTCTTTGCTTTCCAATACTTGTTTAGCTTGCTGAACTAGCCTATGTAAGGCTGCATCGCAAGACTCTCCAGATTGGTAGATAAACTGGTATCGATGTATCGGTTTATCCTGTAGAACATCGTCCCGTATATACCTATCGATACATTTCTTCAATGTTTTTAGCAGAAATGATGTTAGGCTGATTGGTCTGAAAGATTTGGCCTCCTCGTAAGATGCTTTCCTGAGTTTGGGAATGAGCACAACTCTTGCACACCTCCAGATTTGTGGAACATATCCGAGGGCTATGCTAGCTCGGAATAGTTTACACGAAATTATTTAATAATAACCCACATTGAAAGTACGGATGGATTTCTTTTGCTAGATGGTTTAATAATGTTCGAATAAAAAAAAAAACAATACTACTAAGAAGAAATGGATGGCCCTATGTTTGAAAATCGGTGTCAGTTCATTATAAAAAAACTAGCCAACTCCGTTATTGTTTTGAATAATACATCCATACAATTTGTAAAAATGAAACGATAATTTTAGAAATGGCGTAGCTCAGTGGTACACTTTCGATACAAAGGAAAAGACTGCTCTAAGAAACGCCCTAATACATATTAAACTGACTGACATATGGTAACGTTAAATAGAGAGAAGCATTCAAGAGTAGTTCTGGAGTCAACGTATTATCAGAATAAATACTTTAAGTTGAAGAGAAGGACTATGCTAGATTTCTAAGGATATGATCCATACATAGGTCTGAAGAAAAAAGTTTATTTGTTTTAGGATGATACTATTTTGAATCTCAATTTGAAGGTTAAAATGAAATTCAATAGATGTGACTAGATCATAGCAGCTAGTGGAAAAATTAAGTATAAATTAGACAGAAAGAAGAAACAGACATAATTTTTGTTCAAACAGTTAAAAAGTTAAAACAAGTTACTTCCTAGATCCATGCTAGGCAGAAACAAAGCACATATTCGCCTTATAAAACGCAGCTGAGGAGCATATTCTATAACCGGGTATACACAGTGGGTATGATGATAAATATGGCTCCTTGGGGTAGGCTACAGAAAGGTTACAATTAACAAGAAAGAGACAATTAAAATTAACAAGTTATAAATATTAAAAAAGACAGATTAAATTTATAAAATTACAAAGTTTTTTTATAGTGAAGAGGAAGTAAAAAGTTACGATGTTAAGTAAATTGGTAAATTAGATTAACTGATTTAATTTGTAGTATGATTATCACTAAAATAAATATAAAACTATGAATTTAGTGTATCCTAATTTAATGTTTGTAATTCCTACAGAGTTTTAAAAAAATGGTTAAAAAAACAGTTTAGATTAATTAGTGTTTAGGCAGTTACCATATCAAGTCCAACTCACGAAGGCTCTCCAGGTCCTCCAGCATGTCCATTTTCTTATAGTATAATTATTATTTTCTTTACATTAAAATTTAAATGGCTGAATTCTGGAGAATAAAGAAAAACAGATCTTTTTGTTACTTTGTTGACCTCTCAACGGCCAAAAATCAAATTGGTATATAGGTAAGTTTAGATAAATAAACTTATTTTAAGCTCTTAAATCTATGGTAATAAACGTTAATGTAGGAAGTAAGATAGATCAACATGATTCTGCGTCAACTACCGTAAGCTTAACGGTGTCATCAAGAAGCACAGTAATCCTTTGCCAAGAATCGATAACTTCCCCGCTTCCTAGGCGGGTTCCAAACTGTTTTATATGCTATATTTGAAAAGCGAATATTGACATACAATTGATAGACACGTTTTAGATTACTTTTGTTGTTTTTGAAAGGTAAAATTAATAATATTTGATATTATTAATATTCTTCCTATAATCCACCCTCTCTCGAATGAATTTTAACCAAAGAAGCTGACCGAGCTTGTACGGGGATGGGCTATTCATATTATATGATGTGGCGCTCCAGGGAGACTTACAGATGATTGATGGTGATATTTGATTTACAGGTGAAAAAAATCCGGAAAACCCCACCCACCATCATCAAAGCTGTAACGCACGATTTATAAACTAGATTTTATATCAAAATAAATTGAATTACTGCTTATACGGCAACCATCCAAATCCTAAAATGAATCATGCAAATTAATTAAACATTTATAATGTTTGGTCTAAGATTTGAAGTAGAGTGTTGCTGAACCACACAACTCCGTTACCAAAATTTTAATTATTAAACATTAATATTTAAGTTGCAATTCATTATTACGCAAAACCTTATATTAAGAGAATAAAGTTTAATTTTCATGAACAAATATAAATTTATATTTAAGTTTGAACTCTTTATCTATTTAACAAAATTATAAATATCCCTCACAGGTATATAATACTCTATACTCTATTTTTCTATCCATTAAACTAAAAGTAACCAACTCAATACTCTAAGACAATATTTTTTAGTCTTCGACGCTCCAATATTCTTCCTTTCATCATATTATCCAGTACGATCTCCCCACCTATTTCTTCAGTTTTGTAGGCTAATTTTATCTTCGCCATACGTTCTTCAGCTCTTTGGTTAAAGTATTTCCCAAGCTTCGGAATCCGATCTAACACCATTTGAATCCATTTTTTCTCCAAAGAATATACCTAAAATTGTAAAATGTAGAATTTTAATAAAGAAAATGTGAATTTTTTGCGAAAATAATAACATTGGAATTTTAAATGTATGAAAATATTATTATAAATAGTGGGCGTGATCACTAAATGATTAATTAAAAGAACCAGGATCCGCAAAAGTAAAGACTTTCATGTTGCTAGTGGCTTAAGGGCTAAAATCTTGTAAGGAAAAATCGTGATTTTAACCGATTCGTCCGTACAATCCCATCGAATGAATGAAAATAATTGTTAGTGAGATTAAAAATAGTTGTCGACCGTTTTCGTTTGAAATTTGTATTTCCTATAAATTAACATTTTAAAATATCACACATGCGTAACAAATTGGTGTTAAGTGTGGGGTTAGGAATGCCTGTTATCGCTGGACAGATAAGTTTCAGCACCAAAAAAAAAACTAAATTGGGTCGTTTCTCGGGGGGTAACATCGACCCGAACTAGCTTCCAAGATACTCCCATTCTTATCCTTGCATCGTTAAGACATCTTACCAGTAGTTTATACGTAGACTGCACAGTCGATGGCAAAAAGTATACAATGTTAATAGATAGCGAAGCAACGAAATCTATCATCCGGGAAAACTGCTACCTTCCAAATGGGGTATGGACCACTACAGGAAAACAACCAAGGTCTAGGGCTAGGTGGATATAAGAATACAATTTAGTTCCACCTGCGTATCAAACATCTCTCTGGTGGCTGTATATCGAAGAAGACATTATTTTGGGTATGGCCTGTGGAATTTAACTGGATCTCAAGCTCCGAACCATACATGTTGAAGAGGAAATACTGTTGTTACACCAAAGAGAGACAACCATCACTAAAGTAATGCCATCAAAGAACGTTGAAGTCCGAGCATTGCAGCCCTTTACTCCTAAAAAGAGTACACAGGTAAGAACGTTCGAGCTGTAACAGCCGTAATTCACCAGGTGAGCGCTTCGGAAAAATAAATGACAAACAAAATAAATATGATGCTAGCAGCTATAGATCCGTCCTAATTCAGTCACGAAAAGAGACAGGTGAGAGATCTCATGAACCGATATGAACGTGTCTTTAGTTCTAAAGATGGTAAACCAGGAAGACATCGTAAAATATAATATCGATTTAGGCGCAGCACAATTTATCCGGCAAGCCCCACGAAGACCTAACCAAGTTAAGAAGAAAGAGGCCAAAAGAGTTCTCCAGAAGATGGTTAGGGACGGAGTCGTCGAACCATCTATGAGTCCGTGGGCCTCTCTCGTGGTTCTGGTTAGGAAGTAAGATAGATCAACACGATTCTGCGTCAACTACCGCAAGCTTAACGGTGTCAACAAGAAGCACAGTAATCCTTTGCCAAGAATCGATAACTTCCCCGCTTCCTAGGCGGGTTCCAAGCTGTTTTATATGCTATATTTGAAAAGCGAATATTGGCAAGTAGAAATAGATCCGACCGACAAAAAAAAAAGCGTTCACTATCGGATCATTTTTGTGGCATTTAATATTTCTTCCACTTGGTCTTTGTAACGCTCCTGCTATCTTCGAATAGCTATAGAGAACAGGTCTTGTTATGTGTAGGGCTTTCGAAAAACACATAGTTAATCTTGAAGAGGTATTTAAAAGATTACAAGCTGTCAATTTAACGCTAAACGTTAAAAAGTATCACCCATTCCATACCAAGGTGAGCTATCTGGGCCATATAGTAAGCGGATAAGACGTTGCCGTGGACCCTACTAAGATATAGGTAGTTCAGAAATGCCCAATCCCATTCGACATGCGTCAACTAAGTAGCTTCTTGGATATACTATACTATACTATACTATACCGATGCGTTGAGAAATTTGGGGACTTTGCTAAACCATTGACACGGATGACAGAGGAAGGTAAAAGCTTCAGCTGGTACAAAGAGCGCCAAGCTGCATTTGACACTTTAAATGGACGATTAACCTCAGCCCCAATCCTGGGTTACTTGCTTCCTGAAGGAATCCGAAGCCAGCAACATAGGAATTGGTTCCATTTTGTCGCAGTTGCAGGATTTTCGGGAACTAATCCTCGTATATTTCAGTAAGACGCTGTAAAAACGGGCCTTTGTGAAGTTCGTTGAGGATTTTTATAAATACCTCTATGAAAAAAAATTCCTAATTAGGACCGGCCACGCCAGCTTCAAGTGGTTACTCAAATTCAAAAATCCATAAAGCAAGTAGCAAGATGATTTGAAAAGCTACAGGAATACGATTTCGAAATCGAACATCGATCAAGAACAAACCACCTCAATGCTGATGCCCTTCCCAGAAAACCATGTCAACCGAATTGCCCTCATTGTAGCTGCCTGGAGAAAGAAGAAAATAATCTGCCATATTAAAATTGTTAGTAATGAATGGACACCAGAGAAGATTCAAGATCGACAGGAAATAGATACTGTTTGGTTGAAAATCAGAGATTGGAAATCGATCAATCGTCGTCCAACTTGGTAAGAAGTGTCATCTTCTTCAAGGATGTTGAAGTCATACTGGAAACAGTAGAATTTCTTGATATTGGGGGATGGCCTTCTTAAAAGATTGATTGAAAATTCTGACGGAACAGAAACCAAAAAGCGGCAATCCCGATAATTTGCGTTCCATGACGGAACCTTAGAGAGAGTAAAGAAAACATTGCAAAATGTACGTAAAAGATTCTACTGGGTGAATTGTTCCCAAGACATTAGGAATTGGTGCCAAAAATGTACTACTTGTTTATCAAGCAATAGGCCTCATCGGAAACCTAAGATGAGATACAACAGTATATTATAGGAAGCCCACTCGAAAGGATTGTTGTGAATATACTAGGTCCTTAATCGTAGAGCGACGCAAGAAATAAATACATGTTCTTTGTGATAGACTATTTCTCTAAGTGGGTAGAAACTTATGCTGTTACCAACCAGAAAGCTGCTACATTAGCCAACATGTTTGTGAAGAATTTCATAAGTCGAATTGAAGTGCTCCTTGAATTACATTCGGGTCAAGCAAGAAACTTTGAAAGTAAACTATTTCAAGAAGTTTGTAAGAGACTAGGAGTTCTAAAAACCAGAACCACAGCACCGCCGATGGAATGGTGGAACAAATGAATTGAACTCTAACTAGATATTTATAAAAGATTGTAACCAGACATCAAAGGAACTGGGATTCAACACATTCCATTCTTTTTGATGGTGTTCCGATCAGTAGTGAATGAGTTTTTAGGTCATATACCTAAAAAAGTTTTGTTTTGTAAAAATTTGAGATTGCCATGTGACTTAATATTTGGTTGTAAGCCAGGTGATGAAGCACCTGGAGAAGAACATATTTGTGACCTTCAAAATAAGATGGAAATACTCATGAATTTGTCCGTACCAATTTGCAGCTAGGTAGTGACCGCATGAAGAGGCATTATGGCAAGCGAACAGAAGAGGCCAGCTACAATCCACGAATAAAACGAGGTCTATGTCCTAAATTACAAAGGAACTAGGAAGGTCCATATAATGTAAAAAAGAAAACTAATCACGTTATTTATCGAATTGTCCAGGTTCCCAGAAGGAAACCCATGGTGGTCCATCATGATCGACTTGCACTGTTTAAGGAAGACCATACAGAAGATTTCGGGTACAGCTACAACACGACGTACAGTACCAGCATTTCAGGAGGAACGCATCTAAGGAAGGAGGCAGTGTAACGAGTTAGGAAGATGTTACTATAAAGTAGATGTGGTGTTGGAACTAGTGAAAATTGATATAGTTGTCAGATATAAAATAATTGTTAGTCATTAAAATATTAACATCAGAAATGACACAAACAAACTAGATATCTCAATTGCATAGCCTACATTTCTGCTTTAGTACCTGCGAGTGGGTGTATAATTACAATTTTAATAATAATACATAGTTGTAATTGGTACCAGGTCATAACAGCAATGATTAATTTTTTTTGTTTCTTACAATTTTCCAGGCCTATTGAATGGAGATGCCTAATATCGAAATATTTAACTTTTTTCTGTAAAAATTAAATAATGAATGATTAACTAATAATAAATCATTTAAATAGTCTTACGTACGGATCTGTAAGTGTAATTTTTATTAGTTTTTGTAAATGTTACTTCAAACTCAATAAGTTTCTTTCGGGCATTTTCATGAAAAAGTTACGTAAACTTAATTTTAATGAAGAAAAAATAATTACAACCCCTTCAACTACATTTTACATAGACTAAAATTCATAATGTACATTTGAACATAAAATTTTGGTAGTATAACGGTATGAGGAAAATTTGATGAGTGTAGGTATTCAGTTTTGTATGCTTTTATTAAATTTAAAATTCACTTTTTAAAAAATTTATGTATAGGGTGTTGTTTTAGGATGGATCAAATTTTAATAATTTTTGTCAAGCCGGCCCTGGATTTTGATTTTTTTTAATATGTCAGTAAATTTTCCTATAGGTGTAGATTATCTATGTAAACTCTCAAAAAGTATACTTAGTGATTCAAAAGTTATGAAAGAAATGAACCCTGTAACTCGTTTATAAAGGTCACAAAACCCATACCATATGAGTTTTTTGTGATCCCTGGCTGACCTTTATATAGGGTTGAAATATTTTCCTTTCCCAATGAAACACACTCTATATTAAAAATAAAAATTACCTCAGTAGTTTCAATTGCAACGAAACAAAACGAATAATACGATTCATATGATGCTAATTTAGATAAATTCAGCAATCCAAATTCATCACCGTCTTGCAAATGAAACAGCTCTACACCATCACTTCCAATAGCTGAAACTGATCCTGATAAAATGAAATACGTGTGAGTCCTTTCTCTGAGCTCTCCTACGATTATTTCTTCCTTAGCGTACGTTTCGGATGTCATATGAGCAAACAGCAAACCTAGCTCAATCGAACCAAGATGTTTTAAAAACCCGTTTAGGGCTATTAGCTTCTTAGCTCCGTGCATAAATAACTCGGTTTTTAGATAGTCCGTTAATGTTGCCATAAGTTCTTGGACATTAAAATATTTTTTTTGATAGTTGAACTTGAATCTTTCAATAATTTGCGTTTGTAAATGTAGAGGAACGTCCATAGATTTCATGTAGTTATCCAATTGCAGGAAAAGACACTCGTACTGACTTTCACCAGTATCTCCAATTCCAAAATACACTAAAATCTTTCCTATAATTACAAGGACATAGAGTCTACCAGTAAAACAAAATATAAAAAGAAGAAGCTGTTCATTTGGTTGAGTTATAATATCCGAGTAACTCGATCCTAAAAAGTAAGATAGAACTATCAGAAATCCTTCTGTATAAGACTCAAAAGTATATTCAACACTAGTTATATTACGTTTAACTATCCAACTATCTTCAGGAATATAATTATTATGAAAATATATCTGCCAAGGAATGTGGTAGAACTGAAAAGTGTAAAAGTGTAACACGAAAATTACCATTGTTGATTGAGTCAATATAAAAGTAGATAGTTTACCAAGACCTAGAGATGCAGCATTAAATTTAATAATTTTTAGAATGCTTCTCATTCTAATGATATAACAGACAATGCTTAAAACGCTAAGAGGAATAACAAAGGGAACTGACGTTTCTGGAGCCCAAGACACATTTTTCTGCAACCAAATAACTATATTTTCCACAACTACATCACAATTATCTTCTAATAGAACATAGAAGTCTATGAAAAAGTACGTTTTTAAATAACGCATTGCTATCTTCTTTGGAGATATGATTATTTTATTGATCTTAGACTCTATATACCCTGTTATAAAAAAAGCAGCCATTACCAATGCATGGAAAAAATCTCTAATATAATGAAGGACAACAATCGAATATGGTCTATCATAAATGGCTACGAAAAAAAGCCATCGTTCAATAAACAAAATCAAAAAAAGTCTTTCTATGAAGACATTCATTTTACTAAAAGGATGTATTACGAACCAATAGGGACTTTTGCCATGTCTTCTCTGTTCGTTACGTAGTGAAGATGTAGTTCTGAAAAACGTTTTGCATCTTAGATCCTTATCGTTCAGCGTCAAGAGCAATCTTAGCTTTCTTTGAAATTTTTGGTGACATTTTCCTGCCGGATGAAGTGGAGGCAAAAATGATTTTACAGGTTCATTTTCTAATTTACACACATGTTTTGGACTCATTGTTGAATTGGTTTTGTTGATTTTGACATAAATGGATATTTGACAAGATGTTGCCATGAGACAATGAACAAACGAAAATGCATAGAATGGAACCACAGATTTGAATAGAGGAGATAGGAAAAGGTCATTTTCCCCGGTGTTTTAAAATAAGCATGCCATTGGTGCGTTTGATTTGATCATCGGAGATCTCCGAGCGGTGCAAACGTGTTTGAATTCACACTCCGAGATATCCCTAAAGTGTTTATTTTGCTTTGTAGCGAGAACATAGAGCGAGCTCGATGTTCTCAGAGCAGAAGGATCGAGAAGAGGGAGACATTTGTCTTTGTCTCTTTTTAAGTAACGTATAAACAAATTTGAATCTCAAAATTAAAGATCAGACAAGAAGTCAACAAATTATTTAGTTGCTTTTGTCTTATAGCTAAAATTATTCGTCATAAAAAAATAGTGTGTTTGGAAAATACATTTTTTCTGCCCAGTAATCACAGTCATGAAAGTAAAGCGGGCATTTGTATATGCTGCATTTCAGGGCCATTACCCCTTATTATTAATTTTTTTCCATTTTCTTTACTCTTTACTTACTATTTTGACACATTTTTAAACAACCCTCATGTAGGACGCCATGTTTGCAATTTTAGCGAACCATGTACATGCGCAGTTGCTGTAGCATTTTGACGAAAGTGTCATTTATGTCGACTCGTTTTGGTTTTTTCGAAATTCGCTGTTTTATAGAATTTAAAAGAATTTTAGTAGTTTTTACTATAGACAATTATTAAAATGGTAAAGACGTGCTTTGTTTTTGGTTGTTAAAACAACGAGGATTCAGGAAATATTACATTCCACAAATAAGACATCTTTTCTACCAGAACCGTATTGTAAAACAAAATATCGTAGTTACAGAAGAAAGAACAATACAGAAAAGAAAGTAATGGTCAGAACTTTGAAGTAGAAGGGACACATCCCTAAGTAACCAGTTCTAAATTCTTTGGACGTTTGCCGTGGACAACTTTTAACCTCGCTTTTTAGCCGCAAGTTTGGTTGTGCCATGCGCAGTAAAATAATTTTCAGCGGGTAACTTGTCAATTTTATTTATACCCTTTCTGCAATTTTGAAAATTGTGGTTGGAAATAGTGTGTTGTGCTCATGAATTTACAATGGACATTTGTATATATAAAAGCTCTAAATTGTTTAAAACATTTTTTTTAGGAGCACTCAGACTCTTATGATGAAAACTCTTATGAAGACTCTTATGAAAAATATTAATAAAAAAAAAACAGAAAGAATATGACAATTTTTGTAGAAATTACACGTCATTGTAGAGAACTTGAAACTAAACTGGCACAGGGACTCCGTGTCATAAAGAATTCTACCGGTCGCTTCAATCCTGTCGACTGTAACTATCGCCACGAAGCGAGACGTCAAGACATATAGTTTTTTATGAAAATAGGCAAACCGTCATACATTTTTGTTTTGATTTTAAAACATAGGACATTGGATTTAATTTAAAATGAAAAAAAGTAACAGACGTAAAAATAAGAATTACATCTGCCATATTTTTTTAACAGCAAAATCTGCTAGGTCCAAGGCGAATCTTCTTGCTGAAGGGGCACATACAGCCACAGCATCAGTATAAAAAAGTTAATAATTTTAAATCCTTAATTCAGGATATTCCCCAATAAAACAAAATAATTTTACAGTATGATACTTGACTGCCGACAGAGGTCTCCAAACTTACTTAATAATGTCATTGTAAAACTATGTATAATAAATAATGTATCAGATTTTTATTTTTAATCTTTTATTGTAAATAAGTTTGGAAAAGGTCACAAATGAATTAAATTTAAGTAGATGGTGCCCTTTTCCAAAAAAAACGATTCACTTATGTTTCTCTTCATTTGGTCGCAGGATTTCAACATGGGTACAATCTACTGCTCCAATTATCTCTGGAAAATTTCTTGCTTTTATAAAACATAACTAAATTTGTTTTTCCTGTAGAGTTCTAGGAAACCGAATAATGGCCGTTTTTCCCCTTTAGTTCTCGACGTAATTCCATTTTATACTGGGACGTATCTTTATTTAATCGAAATAACTCTACAAATCTTACATTTTCTATAGAGAATGGATCGCTTGTCTCTCTCATTACTAGACTATCTATATTTTCCAAACGAAGATGTTATAGTCGTTCCTCCTTTTCAGCAGCTAATATATTGGCCACAAACAAAGGGACCATTATTACAAATCAAAGCAAAAACTAGATAACACAAACTTAAAATCAAAACCAAAGCGGCACGTTATCTGTCAGAAATTGACATACTTGACAAAAAGTAACAAATCTCTCTATAATTCATGCAAACATTTTTAGATCGGTTAGTAAACCTCCGAGAATGTCCGATGTTTTGACATCCATGAATCGACTGTCACACGGAGTACCGGCAAAGCGTTTATAGAATTCTACAGTAGAAATCGATTGTAGAAAACTATATGTCGAAAGCGATGGGACACGGAGATGAAGTGTTTTGACTTTCGCAAGGTGATTGAAGTCACACATTTGTGACGTAACGCCATACCCTAAGCCGTATTTACATAACGTACCCTTGAGGTACGAATTTTAAATCGAGTCGCGCATGACGTCATCGCGTGACAAAAGTGTTGGTGATATACGGAGACTATGTAGCTTCTCATTGTATTCTTGTTTGAAAATTGCTGATACATTCATTTTGACTGTTTTATATTCTCTGTATCTGTAACGTGTAGAGGGTGGGTTACCGCCACGGCACTTAGGCCTCATAAGGCCCATTATGCATCCTCCTGAGATGATAGGCACCTCCTAGCTCGTGATACAGCCTACTGTTTTATATTAAATTATTTAAACAAGTCAATATAAACAATATAATTCATTTATTTAATAGAAGAAATAAATGTAAGTATGCATTATTTTTGTGTGTTTTAAAATCTTCTCACTTATAAACAAATACTTTATAATAACTATTATACTAAATTAATTTAGGCCGTTATGATAGTTTTATTTGCATAGTATAAAATAGCTATAGAAATTATTAATAATTTTTTTTTGTAATTCATTATGGAAAATAGTTTTGATTGGAAATAAGCCGCTATCGGTCGAACCGGCTATTTTTTTTTAGACCATTTTAGACCATTTTAGACCCTCTTAAACACATTACAAAATACTTTTTTTGTCCTACAAACGCTATAAAATATTTTTTTCACCTTAAAACTTTTAAATGTCTTCTGATTTCGATTTTAAAAAAATTTTAAATACATCATTTTTATTAATTTCTTGTTATAGAAACTACTAAATAATATTAGAACATCCATAAAGCAGCAAACCATTCCCAATTTTTTCGAAAACAGTTTATTTCCTTAATTTAATCCCATGCTTTTTAAATTCGTCGGAATTATTTAATTTTCATAAACACAATGACAATTGACATTGTAAGTGTGACGTGTGTCTAAAAGAAATACAATATTGTCACATGTCAGTGGTCAATTTTAAATATACCCTGTGTTGGACCAGGCCAACAAATCGACTTCAGTATCAGAAAATTATTGTATAAAAATGACGATATAAAAAATGTCAATATTAAGATCTTCTTTCTCATCTTAATTGGCAGAGTACTCTGCGACGTAATTACATAAAATAAAAAAAATTAAACAAATATTAACTAATTTACTTAACCTGTGCGGCCTGGAGTCACCAAGGGTTGCTTATAAGAAAAATTAAAACAAATTTTAACCAATTTACCTAACCTGTACGGCCTGAAATCATCGCGAGTTGTTTCGCGATAAATTATACATAAAATGAGAAAATTAAAAAAAAAAAAAAAAAACAACAAACATATTTTCGAGTTACGCTTTGTCGAACCAAACAATTTTCGAAATTTCCAAAAATAGTGTTTTCGAACTAGACTATTTCGGAGAAAGGTATTTTCAAACTAAAGGTTTTCGAAGAAACGTGCTTTGAAATAAATTTAAAAAAAAAATCCGTCCACCTTCACTAGCGTCTGTCCGTCCAGTGAACCTGGAACTTTGAACAAATGTATCTTTGTCACGTGCATCTAATAGTATAAAATATACAATAACAAGACGAAACAACGCCTTTTTATAGGCTGGCGGCTTAGCCGCCACCTGCAAATTTTAACTCATACCTGGCTACGCCGACCGTCATAGACTCCAACGGCCTGGACACAGCTTAAATTGAAAAAATTGTATTTTTTGCAAACATTACATAAGTTGCGACATGTCGTAATTAATGCACATCATGAAATGAAATAAAAAGACGGATATCTGTGATTACTACAAATGTTTTCCCTTCGGGATCCAAGTTCACCTGCCGGACAGACGCTATGTAATTTTTCGGCTACGCTGTAAGGCCTGGATGTATTTCCAAACAGCCAACTTTCATTAACCGAACTGTTTCCTGTCTTATACGTTTTCTTACTCAATTTGGTAATACCGCATTTATAGAAACTAGAAACGTCAATTGTCATTGAAAATAATTATCTGTCTATTTGTTTTTTTAACAAACTTAAAAATGAAAAATAAGAAAATTTAATCGTTTACGAAAAAAATTTGGCATGGTTTATTGCTCTATGAGTTGTCTAATATTAATATTTAGCCGTTTCTATAACAAGAAATCAGATAAAATATTTTATTTCACTTTTTTACTTTCCTATCTGTATACAGATATAAGGAAAGTATAGGAATCATGATTTTTTTCGACCTCGAGTTTTCGACGGATTTTTACGTTTTGAGGTCCCCTGAATCCGTTTTGACTATTTTCGCGATGATGTCTGTGTGTGTGTGTGTGTGTGTGTGTGTGTGTGTGTGTGTGTGTGTGTGTGTGTGTGTGTCTGTATAACGCATAACTCATGAACCGAAACACGGAAAAACACCAAATTTCAAACTTAAGCTTTTTTCTAGCGTCTAATGAGCTGATTAGATTTTGGGCAGAGTCGGAACATCTGGGGGGGTACTTTATAGGTGGTCATTTTTATATTTTATGGAATATATCTGTTATTTACGTTTG